AGGAACTTAAAGAAGTTACCAATGCCAAAAAGCTACAAAAACAAATGCAGGCAATCGAGAAGAAGCGTAAAATAGACGAGTCTCAACTACTACAGTTGCCAATGGAAAGGGCAAGCTATGCTCTAAGATTCCAGGGGATCCCTGAGGAAAAAGGGGAGAATCTCATACAGATAATGTGTGAAGCCCCGGGGCAAATGGCAGATATAAAAGCGGAGACTTTGCAAAGCGATATTGATACGGTCTTTAGATCGTATACTGAATTTATAAGGAAAAATAATCTGCCGGGAGAAGTGATGGTGAGATTCTCCAGAAGAAGCATGAGAGATCAAATTCTTAAAGCAGCTAATGGAGTTACCCTGAAAATTCAGGGCAAAGAGATAAAGGTCTTAAAAGATATTCCATTTGAAATAAGGAGGAAAAGACGCAAATATAAAGACTTGGTCTTATTTCTACAAAAGAAACAAATTGCCTACAGATGGACTTTGCCTGAAGGAGTCATCTTTAAGTTCATGAACAGAAAAGAGAAAATTGACACTGTGGAAAAGGCAAGAGAATTCTTGCATCTTCATAGCTGTCCAGCAGATGTGGAAGAAGAAGAAGAAGAAAAAGACAGTCCCAAGGAGGATGGCAGTGATGGAGCAGAGTCATCTTCTAGCGAAGAATCCGACTCAAATTTGGGGGCCGAGGCTCCAAAAACAGGGTATAAATTGTGGAAGACAAAGGACAAAAAATGAGTTGTTATCATAATTCTGAAGTTCTAAAAAATGTTTAAACTATGTCATAGTAGACGATGATTTTATCTAGACTTGAAGTATATAGATGATGACCATATTCAATGTTTTTGCATGAGAACTTAGTTATATAAACATGTAATCTTTTTAAAGTTGTTTGTATGACACCCACTCTTGGGTTTTTAGAGGTTTCTTTCCTTTATCCCATAGTTTGTAGACCCTTCCCTTTTTTAAAATGTAGTGTTTAGTTATAGAAAATGCAATTAAAAAATCCCCTTCGGGGGGCCAAAAAAAAAAGTTTTATCTCGAAGCCACATGGCTGCATTTTGACCCACGGCTTCGCCCAATTTTCCCTGCAGTTTCATAATCCTAAAAAAACAGGATCACGAAACCATGGGGAAAATCGGGTGAAGCCACGGGTCAAAATGCAGCCATGTGGCTTCGAGTGGGAAATTGACCAATAGAAGCGGGGCAAAGGGAGGCGCGACTGCCGCTCAGCTTTTGTGTGAAATCGGCCAAGAACTTACAAGTGAGGAAAATGAGAATGAGGAAAAGCCCCAAATCTTTTCCAATTTTTTTGTATTGTTGTAAACGCAAGTTTATTTCCAGCTGCCATCTGTGTTGGAAGAAAAGTGTTCAGCACATCTGAGAAATAAGGCCACTTACTCAGATTTAAAACATATGGCTTAATCTAATTATACAGCTCCAGAACTTATATTTTTGGTTCAACTTCTGAAAATCGTAACTCCCAAGAAGACACCCTTGAACACAGCTGGAGTGGAAGAAATACGTTTATCCTATGCCAAATACCACGGTATGTTTTATAGGTGTAGAACACTGGCACAGAAATGCTTAGATAGGCCTGTCAAAAGTCGAAAAGCATGGCATTCCCTCACATCAGCATCTCAAGCAGACAGAGCCAATGCACAGAGCATATGTCATCTTTTTGGAATGCTGTTGTGCAGACCTGGCTGGTAACTGGACTCAGCTTTTGCAAATGTTAAATCTACTATGGACCACTGAAAACGAAATAGCATTTTCACTTTTAAAAAGCAAGCCCATTCATCCACTTCTGTGCAGTCTAATGTCAGCCATTCAGGTCATAAACAGGCAATTCAAAACATGTATATATTTAAGAGAATGGCTGTTCAGAGAGTACACATATGCCTCTGATGGTTATTCAAACTATTGTTTGCTGGTTGAAATCTATACATGTGATACTGAAATCATTGGGGGAGTGTCTAGTAGTTAAGAGAAACTCTTAAGCACATAGTCAAATGTTAAATAGAAAACTTCTTATGAATAACATCACACTGTCTCCTATCATCAAATAATTTCCACATTGCCACTTGCCCGTATCCCCTTGAGACTGAAGTCTGGGGATCATGTAGCTACAAGTCAAAAGCTCTGTCTTGGCAGACAAGGTTCTGTTTCTCTTGGGGGGGGGGGGACTTGTAGCAAAAATTTTCTTTACTAGATAGCAGCTGGGTCACAGTTACTCATTTCCCAGTAATATGCAGCCACTTTGGGAGGGGCCACTTCACAACCCTGCAGCTATAATGTGCAGCTGTGATGATCTACAAGCAGCCAGAAGGTTCCACAGGGTACCACTTGTAAGTAACCTATGATTTCTCATCTCCATTCATATGCTGAAGTCTGTTACAAGACAAGCCCCAAACAAACACAGGGAATGGTCCAAACATCACAAATCCACTGACTTTCACATTGCGGTGCTCAGTCTAGAAGCTGTGAAGTACTCACAAATCCACAATGTGGCTGGGTCTGATCATGAGGCAGGCTTGTATATAGCTACTCATTCTGGGTGACTAGGCAGGGGAGCTTTTGTTTTCTTTGTCCTTTTAGGCAACAAATAACTAATACAGATGGTTTAAGCAGTCAGAGGAGTATAAATGTTCCATGACCTAATAAATTCACAACAAGGGTTTTTTTTTGGCAAGACTGACATGAAATGTTTTTATGTCAGCAGTAGCTGTCATGAGATGAGATTCTGTTATAAAATGGAAACAGGAGTGTGTGCGAGTAGTTTTTCCGAGCAGTGATAACACAAGTCCCTGTAGAGACAATCACTGAATTGCATCCCAATGGTTAAGATGGCCTCATTCAACGCTGATGACTTCTGAGCAGCCCCCTGGGGAGTCTTATCAGACTATGCTGTTTATACACTCAGAAGTGGAGGTCGTCTAGCCAAATTGCTATTCAAACATACTCAGTGTCTAAGGACTGCTTTGTTGTTCAGCTGAGGACCATTTCAGACATTGATTGCCATAGTTAAACCACATACATGATGAGGGGCAGACGTATCGCAACCCCTGAGCCACTGCATGTAAGAACTAGCATGAGACACAATTTGTTCACATAATCCCCCAAATTCTGGTTTTCTTCCACCTTTTGGGAACAGTGGTGGAGGTTGGGCAATTATGCACAAAACTCTGTGCATTTAGTTCAGAGTCTTACCCAGGGCTATTTTTGGGCAGGAACGCACAGGAACGGAGTTCCAGCTGGCTCCCAAGTTGGCCACACCCAGCAGGAACTTATTAGCATAATAGGCCACACCCAACAGCAGGAACTCATTAGAATTGGCTACATTAGGGTTGTGTGGCCTAACATGCAAAGGAGTTCCTTCAACAAAAAAGGCCCTGGGTTTTGACAACAAACAAGGTAAACAGAATAAGAAGCAAAAGGTGAGTGTGGCTGGAAGTAACATGGGGGTGTGGCCTAATATGCTAATGAGCAGTGCAGTCAGGGGGTGTGGCCTAATATGCTAATGAGTTTCTGCTGCTGGGTGTGGCCTATTATGCTAATGAGTTCCTGCTGGACTTTTTCTACAAAAAAGCCCTGGTCTTACCTATCTTTATATATGCAGTAGAGGGCACATGTGATTCTGAGACCAAACCCACTGCATACAGGGTATTACTGAAGTGGTCAACATCTGAACAGCCTGACCCTGCTATGCAACAAAGCTCCAATTACTGAAGATCTGGGCATTTCCCCTCTGTTCTTTTACAATTATCCATATGAAATATACTTTTGGTATCCCTTTTGTAACTCATATTTACATTTTTAAGAATGTCAATGTTACTTATGTTTCCTATGAAAGTACAGGTAAGCAATTAGTACTTAAGAGTTATATTATGCAACACCACCTTGATTTCCATCACACACCACAACAAGACATAATAGATGGAGTTGGAAAGCAGTGAGCATGGGTTCAGTACATAAAAAATGAAAATTATAAAATGAGACACCCATCTTGGGAACAGTGTGTTGACTATTCTTCTTCCACAGTGCCATGTTTAAAGAGTGAAAACATTCACCTCTAATGCACTAGAAAGAAGATCTCTAGTATTCTAATCATTCCCCCTGCCAAGTGTTCTTTACCAGACTTGAAGATAAAATGAGTAGATGAAAGAAAACCATCACGTTAACCTGTTGGAGCCCTTAATGGGTTCATCTTCTATCAACTGTCAATGAGGTAAGGCCTCTTGCTCTCAACTATCAGTCAACATGACTTGAGAATATGCTACATGCTTCATAAAGAAGTAAGTCAAATTGAGAGCCATTTACTTCATCAGAACAGCTTAGGAGCTGACGATATTATATAGTGGTAGGGAAAAAAATTATAATTCACACCCAGACAGGAGAACTTACAGACGTTCACTGCTCAAATGATTCTCTGTATTTTAAAAAATGGTGGGGGTTTTCATGAATTTTCTACATGGATGTGGTTTTGTACAAGTCTTTTCTCCTGCTGTCAGAATATTGTTCAATAAGACTGAAGTCTGAGGAAGGAAAATGGTTCTTATGCAGAAAGTAACCAGAATAATGCTGTGTTTGGTAGACCTAACTTTTGACAGCTGTCGGAGTGTCACTGTCCAATACACCCTGCTTCTGAGATAGACACCCTGTACCTTTCCAATGGAGATTGTTTTGTGTTTGCAGCATCACAGCTCCCATCCTTTGCCCTTTCTTCAGAGGCAAAGCTATACAGCGATTAGGACTTGGTTCTAGTCCAGCTGCCTTCCAGGCTTTTGCTGCTGAGAGTTGCTGAAAACATTATTGTGCGTGCAGTTAAAAAAAACCTCATCCGTTAAGTCTGCTGGATTAATCCTCTTTAACCACGTAGTCCAAAAACGCACCCAAAAATAAAGAATAAAATCTCCTAAATCCCAAATAGGCATCTTTGGAATCAGTAGTGCAAAGTAGTTTTGTTGATTTATTTTATCCTACTGCAGTCATAGATCTTTATCTTCAAGTCTTTCCTAAGATAGTAGACCTGCAAAGAACAAACATGATAATTGGGGGGGGGGGGAGAGACGTGTGTGGCATTGAATTATTCAGAGTTAGCTTTTGATAGCATTTCTCTATTTTGCACTGAAGTTGACTATTTCTAACTCCAGAGCAGTAACAAGAGCAAAGAAGAAACACAGACAAGTCTAAAAAGGTGTAGCACACTTTTAGAAGTAAGCCAAAGGAAGATGACATGCTGGGAAGACTAAGCTACACAGGGGTTAGGATAAAACATGCTCAGCTGACAAAGTTTTATATGAAATCGGGCACTTCTGTTATTTTCCCCCCAACAAACACTTGTTTGAATGGATCAAACATCTGAGTATTCCTTCTGAAGCTGTAGAGACATGCATCTTCCTCTTAAAGACATGGATGGATAAAATGGACATCATTAAAATTGACAGTGGCTCTTACCTGCCATTATAACTTATATTTATGCTTTAGTATGCTTTAAGCATTGCTACCAACCCACCCTGCACTGCCTTGTATCTAGACAACTAAGTCCCCTACTTTAGATTTCTGTGGGTTCTTTCACCTGCGTGCGTGATGGTACCCTAGCAACTCCAGTGATCCAACCAAGATACCAATATATTCACCAGCATTAGTATAGTAATGCAGTTAACACAAAGATTCTCTGATATGTCAGAGGACTGCATAACCTTGTATAGAAACATTAGTTTTCTTACAAGCAAATATATCACAATACCCTATGTTACCGCTAACTTGCATGTAATATGTAGCTGGATAAAAACATCGAACTGTAGTAAGCCCTTCTATCTGCTACTTATCCAACTCAATTATCCACATCTGAAGTGATTTTTCTGGTTTTAAAACAGCTATCAAGTAAAGTTTGCATGGAATAGATCTTACAAAAAGTGTTCAGCTAAGTTTGTGGTTGCTATGGGAGGCAAAGAAAATGCCCATTCATCTATATAATGCCAATCACACCAAACTTTCCATGCTGGGAACCTCTAACTCAACATAAATGAACTCATACCTCAGTGTTTTCCACCTTTCTTTTTCAGTTTGATTTTCTGGACTTTCGCTTTCATAGGAAGCCAGATACAAACCTGAAAAGATGGAGGGGACAAGATTGGTTATGATACCATTAGCACAAAGGGCACTCTAAATGAAGAACCAAAAATAACAATGCTACAATTCCATGCATATTGACTTGGTAGCAAGCCCTTCTGAACCCAGAGAATGAGTAAAAAATATAAACATGCACAACTACTATTTAAGCTTGTTTCAAGCTAGCATTTTACCAAGTGATGTATTTCTAAAGGGAAGATTGAACTGACAAATCTTCTTTCTTTGAATTAAGAATCCAATATTAGATTCTGCTGGGCTGGCACAAGGGAAGCAGTAAGCGCCAATACTATTGTGCCTATGTTAAGGACAAGCTGATCCTGTAACGCCATATGTGCAGTGTGCAGATCAACAGCATAGGGAAAGGGATATTCTAGAGAAGACTGTGGAGGCAGATTGGGCTTGATTGCCTGTGACCCCTGGTGCTTTAGACTAAGAACTGTAGAGGCAATCCAGTTCCTGTTGTACTGGCAAAATTACTTTATCAACAGGAGAGGAAGAGGTTTCATGCAGCAATGGAGGCAGAACCAGAAAGTCCACCAGCTCTGCCTTAAATAGGATATTTCTACAATTCACGGGGCTTTCCCTGTATGCAGGGAAAGCCCCCCCCATCCCAATTTCAGACAATGTAATTTTTTCCTTAGGAATTTTATACTGAATCAAAAAGCATATGAAGAAACAAGGGTATACGTGGAAGATGCAGGCTTCCAATTGCAAAGCTAATGTGGACACAGATTCCATTGAATATGTGACTACATCCAGATCTTAACATTCTTTCAAGCTTCACTAAATTGGGTGGGTGAACTTTTTTTAAAAAATGATTTTTTTTAATATTTCAAAAGACAGGAACAATTGAGACAGTCGTACAAATCACTACGGTCAAGTAAAGAATGAAATCAGTATAACATGGGGACACAGAATGACACCCTCCCATGACCCACTTAAACAATCAACTCCCCTTGTTCCACCTTTTCCAAAAATAAGGACCATTTATCTAAGGAACTATACAATTCCCTCTCACTCCGAGAAGCATCGAAATACATAGTACATTTTTCCAACATGAAATAGTCCCAGACAATGGAGAGCCAGGAGGCAGCCGTGGGCGGGTTAGTGCTCTTCCAAAATCGGGCTATAGATGATTTGGCAGCTGTGAGCAGAAAGTTAATTAACTCTCTTTTCATTACAGGAGCTTAATTTGACGACCAGTGGCCAAGAAGGAGCAACGCTGGGTCTAGGTAAGTCCACTCCTGTTATCGTATAAATGAGGTGTATAACTGACAACCAGAATTGCTGTACGTGATGGTATTCCCACCAATTATGGAAGAAAGTGGCTTTATTGCCGCAGTTTTTCCAACAAAAAGGTGAGGCACGGGCTGAAATATAAAAGAGCTTGACCAGAGTCATGTACCATCTGAACAGAACCCTTCTGAGCCGCTGCACAAACCGTCAGTGATCTGGAAACTTTGGCATGCATTTTCCAGATGTGGTCCCACTGATCCTCGGTAAAAGATCGATTCCAGGCCCACGCCGTTTGGTAAGTGTGAAGTGTGTCTGAGTCCAAGGTAACTAAAATGGAGTACACGGAGGCAATGCATCCTTTCAGCGGTCTCTGTTTCGAAAGGAGCTTCTTGAAATCAGTTATAGGCCTTTTAAAGCAAGAGATTCCATCCAAGGGGCCAAGCGTATGCTGCAGTTGGAGATACTCGAACCAAGGCAGCGTAACATTAAATTGTGCCTCCAGTGTCTGTTTCGGGGCTATCCGGCCCTTAAAGACAACATCTATAATACGAGTGATCCCTGCTTGTCTCCACATGTGGAATGAATGGTGGTCTCTAGCTGGTCTAAGCAACCAAAAGGGTGTGCACATGATCATTTTTTTTAGAGACCCCGGCTAGAAAAAATGATGATGTGCACAACCCTTTTGGTTGCTGCGCATGATCTGGGCCTGACTGAGACCCACTTGTGTACTGTCACAGCTTGGTGAAGAATGCTCATCATGATGATCTACATATGGCATACATGCTTCTTCTGAGAAAGAATTGAAATCATATGTAAAGAAAGTCCAAGCTGAGCAAAAGATCCGGGATCACCTGGAGAGCAGGAAGAGATTACTTCCATACCTACTCATAGCTAGAAGACTAAGGCCCCTTTCAAATGGGCTCTTTAACCTATTCTGGCCTATTCCAGAAGTCTCTCAGCAGTGCCAGAGTTACATTACCCTTGTCCCCTTCTTATAAGGCTCACTGTAATTGCTTTAATTATTTTTACTTTTTGACAGTTGTTCCTTATGGGGATCAAGAGTAATTTTCTTTGCTACACCATCACTTCATGTGTGGCAAATGAAGTCCCCGCTGTCTAATATGATTAATGCAGAAGAGGTTCAAAGGCTGATTTCTAAAAGTAAAAAAGTTCAGAAACAAATCAAGAGTCATCCAAGCTTGTGGACATGTGCAGGCGAAGCCAACAAATTCCACCCTTATCTTTGACATAACGATGATGGGATGTGACTGAATTAACCCATTATGAAATGGCAGGGAGTATAACTTGTTAGTTTGGATCAATAGGAAGAGAGGCAGACAGAAATTAATCTGCAAATAGGAATGATAAATTGCTTGATGAAAGAGCTACCCAGAACAATTTCTGCCCCCCTCCAAGCACATTTTGAAAGGTAAATATCCCTGTGATGGGAGCGGAGCTCTGCTTTCCTTGCCTGCAGCCATCAGAAACTGCACTGGGGAAAGATGGCCTTGTGGACTTTTGGGGAATAGTAGCTCAGCTCAGAACACTTTCAGCTAGAGCATGACTGACATTCATGACAGCATCTCATGGTAAAGCTACAAGGCCTATTCCTTTGTGGATACCAGAGAAATGATTTGCTACAAGCAAGGTGCCTCATTGAAAAGTTATGGGAAAAGATAAAGGCCTAGAGAATCATTCTTACAGCAGTCTGTAGACAATAGATCTGTAGGAAGACAGAGTGTGAAAATTACATTTTATCAAGTGTGATGGTACACAACATAAGTGTGTACCACTGTAGACTGCTAAAAATAAACTGAAATTCCTTACCATCCTCAGTAAAGATGGGCGCTGTATGTAAATAGTGGATGATATTAGCATCTCGTTCAAATGGACATTCTACTTGTTTCCATGTTATAAATTCTCCTACTTGTTTAGCCAGTTCCAAGAATTTCTGTAAAGAAATGTAAAAACATCTGGGTACAGAGACAATGTATATCATTAAAACTATTTCCAAGGCTCACATAAAATCATGGGTGTCTGCTCACTGCATGGAGCTCTTAGCTCTCAGGGAGCAGGTTTGTTCCCTTGAGGCTAGGGTTGCTGACCTGGAGAAGCTGAGGCAGAGGAAGAGGGAGAGGGAGAGGGAGGTTTGGGCAAGAGACCTTCAGGGACTCACCAGAACAGTCCCACTCCTGTGCTGACAGCTGATGTGGAGAGTGTCTCAAAGTTGGAGGGCATCAGTATGAGGAGGAGGGATGTGATCCCTTCCTTGGCTGTTGGACCAATATCCTCTTGTACCAAGGATATCCCTCTGGAGTTGGGGGAGGTGGGCTTTTGATATCATTAGGAATACAGAGAGTGGGGTCTGTGACAGGCATTTTGACCACATCATCATGACTTGCCTGCCTGGTGCAAAGGTTGTGGACATCACACGCTGTCTAGATAGGATAATAGATAGAGCTGGGGAGGAGTCAGCAGTCATGGTGCATGTTGGCACCAATGATATTGGGAAATGTAATCGTGTGGTCCTGGAGGAAATATTTTGGTTACTAAGCAGAAACATTTTAGATAAGAGGCGACTAAGGGGGGACACAATAGAGGTTTCTAAAATTATGCATGGGATGGAGAGAGTTGACAAAGAGAAATTTTTCTCCCTCTTCCAAAATACTAGAACTCAAGAGCATCCAATGAAACTGATGGGCAGTGGTTTCAGGATGAACAAAAGGAAACACTTCTTTACACAGAGAGTGATTAACATGTGGAATTTGCTGCGAGAATATGTAGTGATGGCCACATGAATAAACAGCCTTAAAGGGGGATTAGATAGATTCATGGAGGATAAATCTACCAACGGCTACTAGCCACGGTGACTGATGGAAACCTCCATGTTCAGAGGCACTAAACCTCTGAATCCCAGAGCCAGGAGGCAACATCAGGAGAAGGTCTCAGTCTCTATGCTCTGTTGTTGACCCTCTAGAGGAAATGGCTGGCCACCGTGTGAGACAGGATGCTGGACTACATGGATCACTGGTCTGATCCAGCAGGGCTCTTCTTATATTCTCATATTCTTACACAGTGTAAATCAATGCAATCAACAGGATGAAACATCTAATGAGCAATATAATAGGACTTGGCCTACAGAAAGCATGAAGTATTAGACGTGATATGTTATTAGATGGCGGGGAGAAACAGCATGGTATAGCCACACCTTATCAGATCTCAGAAACTAAGCAGGGTCAGTACTTGGAACAGAAACCACCAAGGAAGTCTCTGCAGAGCAAGACAATGGCAAGCCACCTCTGCATCTTGTTCACCTTGAAAGCCCGTTGCTGCGGTCATCATAAGTCAGCTGCAACTTGACAGCACTTCACACACACATTATTAGACATGATATGTTAAACCAGTGGTTCCCAACATGCACCTGTGGGCTCCATGGCACCTGCCAGCTCCTTTACTGGTGCCCACCAAGTGTTTTTAAAAAGTGGGTGTGATTATGTGGGACTATTTAAGTTTTTGATGTTTATGGTATAATGCAGATAGTGGCTTTATGTAAAGTACTTACTTGTGCAGAAAGCAGAGTGTTATTCTAAAAATACCATGGGACTTGATTCTGATTAAACATGATTGGGCTGCACAGATAAAATTCTGAATGTACCAAGCAAGAACTTCTATTGAATTTGTCAGATCTTTCCAATTTTAATGTTTTTTTATAATTCAGGTGGAAGTTGATAACATCACTACATCTAGGGTTGCCAAACCCTTAGTCTAGGCAGGGGTTCCCCCGATTTTCGGGGCTTCAATCCACCACTGGCCAACTGGCTGGCAGGGGAAGCCCCACCCCCAAACAGGGACATTGCCTAGCGACATCCCTGATGCAATGATGTCACCTAGAAGTGACATCATTGTGTCAGAGGCGTTAGGAGTGACACTCTAGTTTTTGGGCAAACTCTATGGTTTTGAAGTAAAAAACCCATAGCGTTTTGCCCAAAAACTAGAGCATCACCCCCCAATGTCCCTTCCATGCAATGTCATCATGATGCCTGTGCTATGTGTGCACACAGGAATGCCCTGGAGAGGATCCTGGAGCCCACCGCTAGCAGCTGGTAAGGAGCTGGCCTTCAGCAGCAACCATCACTGTTACAAATAACACCACAAGTTAAAAATGGCTAAGCTCATGAGAGAAAGGACATTTTAAAAAAGCAATTCTTCCCCTTTTGCATAAATATGTTAGATGCCTGCAAAATGAAGACTGAAAAGGCCAGGTCAGGGTTTCTTAGCTTGCTTAGGATGTATACTTATTTTGTGTATATGCAAGAAAATATTTTAAAACAACGTTAATTTTAGGTGTTATGTATTACCTTATGTAGATAGCCTGAATGAAGAATGAGCCTGAGTTTCAGTCACAAGCTCCATGGACTCCCAGTATCCTAAAACCAACAACCTGATTGGCTGATGTTGTGGAATGGACCAATCAAGAAAGACCATGACTTTCATTGGGAACAAACCCTATTGGTCTTAAGCGCTCACTCATGATTGGACCTTAGTATTCTAGGGGTGGGGTTTAGCTAGTTCCAAATTGTATATAAGTTGGAATTGTTCTCTGTGTTGATTGTTGTGTTCTGAGCTGAATAAAGAAATCCCTTTTGAGAAAAGCTGCCTCAAGCCCAGTATATAATAGAAGGCATCCCAATTTCTGCCTGAAATGTTAAAGACCTACATAAAGAGGTTATGCATAACCTCACTCCCTGACATGTTGTAATTGTCTCCAGCTCCCATGGCAGCCACTTTGTGACTGCACCCACCACCCTGTGTCAAAATTCCAAAGGTGTGTGCAGGCTGAAAAAGGTTGGGGACCCCTGGGTTAAAAAATGCAGAAAATGGTAGCACCTTAAGTATTTCTTAAAATGCAGTGAGAGCAGGATAATACAAACAGCAAAAAGATAAAACATGCTATGTACAGTGGTATAGTTCTGTACATTTATAAAAGCACCTTTTGGAACCCTTTCATTATGATATAGCCCTCTTACCTTTATAAAAATGCCCTCCTGGAGGGAAAAACAGGGTAAAAACCACCAACCAACCAAATAAAAAAAATAAAGGCTAGGAGTCAGGAGGAAGGGATATTTTTTTTATACTGGTTTCCCTGCACTTCTGTGACATGCAGGTAGATAATGAAGACAAAATGGGTTATATTGGTTCCCAGTTCATAAAAAAAAGTTATCTGGCCTAGATCTGAAAGTGTTCTTCTGCTCCTAGAATGTTCCCTTCCTCTTATAATAGGAGCTCTTCCTTTCTGCAAAAGAGTATTCTGCTTCATGAGCGGAAAAAAGGGCATCTCTGGATCCAGCCTAATGGTTTGGATTCAACCCCTTGGACCTCAGATATCTACATGATATACAGACTTTGGTTTTACATGGATGCTATTGAACTTACTAAGGTGTCTAATATATGAATACATCTTGGAATTTAAAATACAACTGTTTGGGTTTTGATGTGTACCTCAGAAGTTTTATCTCCCCAAAAGCTATATCTTTTTTTTTTAAATGTATAAACTACACCACTAATATACCTATAGCTAAAAGTGTAAGGCGTATATCTTCATATCGGATTTTCCTGTGTCTTCCTGTTATCCTCTCACAAGAGCTGGAGAACAAGCTTGGTTGGCTGTAGGAGCTACTGGCCCTGACAGGCACTAAACCAACTGGACATCCCCCGTCCCTGCTCTTTCTGCGCTGCCATCATCACTGCTCACCTATTCAACTTACTCCGCAGTGCCTGACTTGGAGCAGCAGAGAAAGGGAACAAGGGAGCTCCTGTGAATCCCACTACTTCCTGGTCCATCCTCTCTGGTGCCAGAAGGAGATAAGCCATGGTGATGGCAGTGACAGAATTCTGTAGCTGTAACAGGGTTCCAGAGGTGGCTACGGCAACTGTCAGAGCTGGTATCTTTCCGAGTCTTTACATGGAGGATGCTCATAGACTCCTGCATGAACCAATCTTTAATCTCTATAAAATGCATGTTATACCTTCAAACGGTACCATATTTCTGACATGGCATTTCCTTGCTAACCAATGGGACAGAGGAGCAATATTCAAATTAGAAACTCTGGCTGGGATCCAAAAGAGCCCCATGCGTGAGTGGCAAACACTTCTACAAAGGAAGCTGGCAATTTTCTCCCCTGGCTGCATCACTTTGTGCCTTGTTGAATCCTCCCTGCTCCAGAGAGTCCATAATCTTCAAGTACTGGCTTCAGCAGCAGGAAGAATGACCATAAATTTGCATGTATTATTCCACAAGTGGTCTTGAGAAACTGAAAAGTTTTTTCAACTGATATATTTTATGAAAAGGTATGTTGGAATTTGACTTTTGAAGCAATAGCATCTCTTTTGGGGGGCTGCAGGCTTTGTTACCCAAACTGAAATATAAACACCGGAGCTCAAGGGGAGCAATACTCTATGAACTTGATGCCGGTATTCACTGCTTACTTCAAAGTTGACATGTCCATTTGGAAGGCGGTTAGCGCATCCTTCATTCAAAAAATAAATGTCTTTGATCAGTAGGCTGAAAAATGGGATCACAATCTGTGAAGAGAATGACATAACTATTATCTCTGCAGTTCTGTTCTTTCTGCACGAAAGAATAAGCCATTCACAAGAAGAAAAGAGAGATTAACTTTTGGCGCAATACTCTAATGAAGCAATACTAATTCTGGCTAGGCCTAGAAGTGACAGGATACAAAAGATGACTTTAAAAACCCACAGAATAACAGCAGCACACTGAGCAGATTTTCTCAGCATAGCCTGGCAAAATAATTAAGTATATTCTGAAGTTTTTGTTGATTACCTATTAATATTTTAGTAGCATTAATTTTTAAGCAAAGATAAGATATTTTTTTGCAACAGGGACATTTTATAAACAAACTGATTAACTTTTCCACAGACCACAGGAAGATATGAAAGAGTCAAAGAATACAATGACATTGTGGGATGCTACAGACACGGCTAAGTGAACATTAACAATTAAACTTGAACGAGCAACATATGGCATAATCAGCTCTTGTGGCTTAACACAGCAAAGGCTCCAATAGAGAGCAGAAATTCCAGTGAAGTGAATGAAAGAGGATGATTTATGTTGCATAGCTGGTATCTAGGCATTGGACCTTTTATACAAAGCGTGGTGTGCGCTCCACAGACATCAGGTGAATCAATACAGATTTACATTGAGGCTGCACCATGATAAATCATGGTCTGATTAAACTCTAGTTTGCTAAAGACATCTTCATGCAGAGTGCCTGAGAAGCTGGGGCTTATTAGTTGGCATGAAACTGGGATTTCCAACTAGAGATTGTTCACCATGGTTCATACCAACTGCAGTGTGCTGTCATGTCTCACCATAATTCACGAACCACAGCATGTTAAATAGTAGCATTCTTACTCTCATGGTTGCCAGGCTAGGGCTGACAGTATAGGGAGGATGCCTTCTGAGTGGCAGAGAGTGGGTGAGAAACAGATGGACAAAACTGAATTTCTCCTTTGCATTTGGTAGAGTAAGTATTGCTTGTTGCATTTATCATTGCACTGATCAAACTACTTCTTGCGGCTTTGTGACCACGTGAGAAATGTGATCTTCACTGAGAACTGGATAAGTGATGAAACAATGTCATAGCCACCAAATACATGCCAAACTCTACATAGCTCAGTTCAAACCAGAATCAGTCCTACAAAGGTGTGAGGTGAAGTGTGTTACTTTAGACAGCAGAATGCAAAAGCAGGCATTTTAAGAACTTAACTCAGTCACACAGAACCACTTCTTTCAAGATGACACCTGTGCAACAATGCTATAATCACATAACGCTATTAGGGGGTAGGTACTTGTATAGATTCTGCTCCCCCCAGGCCAGTCCAGGGATGGAGGGGAAAACTCTACACTGGCTTAATACATTTACTCAATCACCCAGAGATGTAGGCTCTCTGGATTTCAAGACAATAGCCACCAGAACCTTTTTTAACTAGGGTCCCTTTCCAGCCCAAGAGCAAGGTTCAGACTCTTAACTGGCCTCTGGGACTTAACACATCAGCAACTCAATCTAGAGCTGCGCAGTTAATCTTACCAAGGTAGCATAATTGGTCAGCGGTTTAGGCTGCAAGATTTAGCTTGGAATTCAGTTACACATCAAAACAGACACTATTTATAAACAAGAATAAGGTTTATTCAGTAGAGAACTTAGCACAGACTAGAAGGATTTCAAAATAACAGCCTAGGCAAGTTTTGCCTTAACTTAACAGTAAGAAGCATATTTACCAACATCAGGGTAGCATCCAAGAGTTCAATATTGTCCATTGGAATAGTCCAGGTACCCCCAAGGGGGGTTGAGGAGGAACATCCCCTCCTTGCCTTCATGTGCGCTAAGGCACAAGGGGATCCTTTGTTCTCCCACAAACCACATGGCAGGACAAGAGCATTTCAGGGGTAAGTCCACAGAACAGCAGAGATTGCAGGAACAGAAGAGAGAGAGTTCTCTCCATAGGGTTTGACCATAGGGCAGTCCCAGTCTCCAAAGCCAGGGGCCAATTGGAGTAGACATGGGAGCGTTTGACCATAGGGCAGTTCCAGTCTCCAAAGCCAGGGTCCAATTGGAGTAGACATGGGAGTGTCCAAATGTAGGGTTGCCATGGGGACAACATCTGAATGGTCAGAGCTCTGAAGGGCACACCCGCAGTCATGTGCCCCCCAAATTCCAACCCTGTTTGCTTGTTCGCTAGGCCATCTGGTCTTCTGCCAGCATGGAAGTGTGAAAAATGTAGGGTTATATGGCAGGCCATTGAGGTCATATGGCTTCAATAGGAAATCAACACAGCAGGGTTATCAGCAAGACACATTCCAGGGGGAGGCAGGGGTTTATAGGAATCAATATTTCTATACAGTACTATCTTAGGAAAGGCAGAATAACATCTTAGGAGAGCCAGTTTGGTGTAGCAGTTAAGAGTGCAGACTCTAATCTGGAGAACCTGGTTTGATTCCCCACTTCTCCACATGAAGCCAGCTGGGTGACCTTGGGTCAGTCATAGTTCTCTCAGAGCTCTCTCAGCCCCACCTACCTCACAGGGTGCCTGTTTTGGGGAGAGGAGGGGGAAGGCAATTGTAAGTTGCTCTGAGACTCCTTTGGATAGTGAAAAGCAGGGTATAAAAACCAACTCTTCTTCCTTCAGTGGGAGGGAGAATAAAAGGTACTGCCTCTCCTAAGGTGGTATCTGCCCCTGACAGTGTTGTGTGATTATACCATTGTTCCACAGGTGCCATCTTGAAAGCTATGGTTCTGTGTGAGTGGGTGGACCTGGACCCTGATGATACTGTGTGATGATTTATTTTCAAGATGGTGAGGACTGACTCTTGGCATCTGCCCCTACTCTTCTGTGCAGCTTCTGGAAAAAAAGGATGCTATTACTCCAACTGTGGGATAGAAAGACTAGGTATTTGGGTGGCATTTAAGAGGCAACACAGGAAGGCACAAATGATGTAAGAATTTGGTGTTTCTGCATCTGGCAAGGGTGGCAGCATTTTAAAATGCACAAAGAAGTAGGTTCTGTGGATTGTATATGTCTGTCAATCCCTTCCTACTGTACTGATTCAATACATTCTGGTGAGTTACTATGTGGGGTTTGGCTGCAGGCTCTAAGCATTAGCTTGTTATTAGGCATCTCCTTTTCTTGTTCCTTCTTTATCCACATCTGAGAAGGAAGTTCCTGTTATTTTCCTAGACAGACGGAGGATTGAATTGTAAAATGTAAGGGAGTTGAAAGGCCACAACACCAGCATATGGATAGAACTTTCTTCCTTTGAAAGGGAGTGTACAAGACCAAGTTGCCCTTTGGAGAGGAAAACATCTGCTACAAATGCCGGACTAAGTGAAAGAAAAATATTGAAAAGACTGAGCTGCATGTTCCACATGCCTTGCTTTTTCAGCTAATCCCAGCTTTTCCAGGAAGAAATCCACTCCTTTGCTCTGATTCATGGTCAACCTTTCTCAACCAACCTTCAAACTATACCTCTTCAGATGATTCTGTTTCTCTCACCTCTATGGTATCTTGTTTCCTTATTTATTTATTTCTCTCTCTCTCTCTCTCTCCCCCTCTATGTGCTCCATGTTAGCATTCTGGTTTGGCTTCTGGTTCAACTGCATTTAAACCAGATTTTCGTTCTGGCGTATCCAGGACTGGAGTCCGAATTCTGAAGTGATACACGAAGAGTTTGTTTTATCATGAGCTGGGCTTGTAAAAGAAATGTATGGGTTTGGATTTAAATCACTGTGAACAGAGCGTAGTTCATGGAAGGAATATTTGCCAGTTCCCCTTTCCCACTGTAGCCCCCCATCAGTCTCCTGAAGGTCAGGCAAGAAAGGGCAATTTCTGCCAGTTCCCCCTTCATACTGCACCCCATACTACGCAGGAATTTTTGTGACCTGTATCAATAGCTTTTGGGGAGGGCAGGGACTGCAATGAGATGGAGGGATTTCCCGAGATTCCTTCTGCTAAGCTTAATTAATGAATGAGTAATTAAACTATGGAATTCACTATCAGAGGATATAGTTATGGCAATAAGCGCACAGATGACTGTAAAGGGGGATTAGACAGATTCATGCAGGATAGGTCCATCAGTGGCTACTACCCATAGTGACTAAAGGAAATGTCCACATTCAGAGGCAGTAACCTAGGATGCCAAAGTGGGGAAAGCCTTGACCTCTGTGCTCTGTATGGTGACCCTGTATATATGTAACTAGGTGGACTTTTGGTCTGATCCAGCAAGTCTTTTCTAATTTTCTAGTTGCTGTAGAATGTTAGAAGCCATCCAGACATAGAATCCTATTGCCTGGAACATGCCTGGAACATGCGTTTTCAGGCTAAAAAAACAAATACCTCAGAATTCTACAAATGGCTTCAAATCACTTCCTCCATGGAATGCCTGTCTTCCCCCCCAGGGTGCACTAAGAAGACCTGATTTACAGCTCCCACAATGAAGCATCTAGAGCTATTCAGCATTTAATACTCCCAACTGTAAAAATTGTAGAATTTAACACCCCCAACTGTCAAAACCCTCCTTTCTGCTATCCAGCCTAAATTTGTTAACTGCTGATCTGTAACCATTAATTCTGGCACTTACTATCTTCTTTAACCAAAAATTGTAGTAAAAAAGTGCCTCTCTGAATAAATCACAAGAAATGGATTTGCTTTCTTTTAACATAAATCATATTCATCTGAAGAAACATGTAATGCTGACTGCTGTGAGGCTCTCCTCCTTCTAGGCTTTCTGTTTGGATCCTACTTTTTAAACTATATAGAATATATTTTTAGCCGAGGACAGACCAACAGTAGAAAAGGTCAGAGAATTCAAGTCAGCCCAAAAATTCAGCCCCCAAAGCAACTGAATCCCAGTGTAACTTCACCTGCCTTGTAGCTCATGTGACCCATCTCTGGAAAGCTCCCGTTCACTATAAAAATCCTCCATTGAGCTGCCTTATGCAGATTCAACTGGATGGTGAGTCCCAGTCTCTCCTACCAAAGCTAGATTTTCTTTTAAAGTGAGA